ATAGTATAAATAGAGAGGTAGAGTAGCACCTCTCAAGCAAATTTAGAGAGACATGTGTGAGGACTTGTTTCAGGAATGAAGGAGTGATATTTTTGAGTATCTTGGAGTATCGACGTGTATTTGCGTTAATGTGAAGAGAGTGATGTGAGGAGAGTTCGTGTGTGAGTTGGAGTGATACATGAAGAGTTTGTGAGAGAAGGTGTTTGGGACATGAGTGTGAGAATGAATCCTAGTCTTTTAGAACCATGATGCGCTACCACAAAGCCATCAGAGGTAAACCTGATTGAGAGTCAGCCCGGAGGTTGCAGGCCGGTTGGACGATTTCCGCTCTTCCTCTGATACATGTGTCTTCTGAACCGGGGGATCCGGTTTCCGGTTCCTCCGTTCCTTCAGGTTACTCTTGGCTTACTTAGCCGCTCGTGAGTCAGACTGTTTGTCCTTCTTAGAGGACTCACAGGCTGCTTCCTTGCGACGCGCCGAACTTCAGGTTTCCACCTTCCCCACCATCACCTCGTCGTACGGCAAGGCTTCGTCATGGCGTACTTTTTCTGGACTCAATGTCACCTGATTTACTTGTACATCATCCTTACTGGGCGGGTTCACAAACCGAACAGTTAGCCAATGTGCTAGCTGCTGGTCGCCTTCGGCCGCCGTGTGACCTGACTTCCGACAATTGTTGCACAAAGGGACATACCCCATCTGTCGACGGGGGTGAGGACATTGAGGGGAGTAATGCCTCGTGCCTCCACAATTGTAACACGTATTTGGAGCTAATCTCTAGAGGATACATGCGACGTTGTGGTACCGTCGTCGCCATGTCCTTAGTTGCGTATCTTGGTATATGTGCGGGAGGAATGGGGTAAGAAGCTGGTGCCTCCTGCACCCCATAAGCGGTTTCTTCAACCGCATCGGTATAATATCTGACGGTCTCCCACATTGATACCCATTCCACCGCATTAACCGGATAATTGGGTCGGGTGTTCGTGCACTCCGTGTTCGCATGGGCCACTTTCCCACACGTGGTACACCAAAGGTTCGCCCGCAACCGCGACGGCGATTTCCTCCGGTCTTGGCCCCCTACCACGTGGACCTTCAGGTCTGCAAAATCCTTTACTAACGCATCAACCTTCGACACAATGACGTTCAAACTTTTTTGAGGGCATTGCCATTCTCTTCCCTTTCTTCTTTCCAGCGGCCTTCTTCCTATGCCGCTCATCATTCAAAGAGGGCGAATCTTCTGACTCATTACTCTACTCTGAGGATAAAGATTCCTTAGATGAAGGTGTGGCCAGTCGCCGCTTCCTTCTACTATTCTTGGGTGTTCGTTCATTAAATGATAGATCCTTCTGACGTCCATTCAACGTTGATGTCTCGAAAGCTTCGACCGAGATAATTACGTCGTCGATCGTATCGCATTTACTCCGACGACAATACGTCTCCATCTCACGCGGCAAGCCATTCACATACCAGTTAATGGCCTGCTAAGTGGAGTAGGGGACGCCTTCCCCTCTCTTCGGAATTCGGTCCAAGAGATCTTGGAACCGTTCAGTAGTCTCTGAGTTTCTCCTTCCTTTTGCGCTGGAGGTTGCGCAGCTTTGTCAAGACACGCCTGTCGTATCCCAACTCGTGAAATCTCCGCAAGATCTTCTCCCGCAATTTAGCCCAGGTGTCAATTCCAGCAGGTACGGTGCTTTCGTGGTTTTATCAACTACGAGACTTCTTGCGCAAGAGACTAGGGAATATGTGCATTCGATCCGTATCTTCATTCTCTTTGTTCGTGATAGAAACTGACTTGAACAATATGATGTAGGAGTTTGCATTGTCATCATCTCCTCTACTTTTGAATTTCGCGTAGGAATGCTTTGTGAAAGAAGGCGGATGGGAATGCCCTTGGGGGTTTGCCATTAGTCGATCCGGCGGGCCTCCTCCTCCTCCTCCTCCTGGCGGATTAGGCGGGAAAGGTGGTCCTCCTCTTGGTAAGTCTGGCGGAGACGGGGATCCTCCACTTTCTGACCCTTCATACCCTCCTGAAGATCCAATGGGATTTGGATCCCGAAACAGCATCGCCGTTCGAAGTGGCGATATAAGAGCGTTTGCAAGTCGACCTTTGATGACTTGCACCACTGTTTGCACTCGTTCTTCTGAGATTATCAGTTCTCAGATTCAACCACCCCATGGAAAATGTGTCCACCTCCCGGTAGCAAAAAGTACGGGGTGGTGTAAATTTGTGAAGAGGTTTCAACGTCTGGCGCAAGAGCTTCCTCGAGAGGTTGGAGATATGAATTAATCGGAGTTGACGCCAACTTCTCTCAAACAAAGGCTTCGTGCGTAGATGGTGATGTTGCAGGTCGCATCGCCTGCGATGATCGTTCACAGGGAGAAGGGGTTCTTGCTTCTTCATTTTTCCTCTCCCTTTCCTTTGGTCTAGTTCAAGCGTAGCTTCAAGTTAATTCGCCTTCTTTCCCCCTCGACGGAGATACCGCGTAGTTCGGTCACTTATGTCGTTAGTATCATCTCCTGTTGACATTAATCGTGCATCTCTGCACACGTACTCTCGTGTTGACGCTTTGTCTTTGGCAGCGGCGCCAAAAGAAAATTATCTATGTAATGACAGATAAATACCAAAATGGAGCATAATGATAAAAATCTAATCACACGAGAACAGAAACAACACAAGAAATACCAATTGTCACGTTCTTAATAGTCTATTGAGGAGTTTGAACTCTCAGGCTACAGTTACTCCCAGAAGTACTGCAGTTGTTCAACTCTGAGGTCTCTCAGAGGACACACAAAGCAGCGTAAGACACACACACACATGAAACAAGCAATTGCAACAACTAAGAGGTCAATCGCGACCTCAACTTAAGATTCAAGGTAAGAATTCACAATAGATAAACTCAGAGGGTTTGCACGCAACTGCCAATTGTGAATTTGCTTAAATCTTGACACTAGCCAATCGTTACTAAGAACATTCGAATTGGGGCTCCTACTTCGAATGCGGTATCTTCGACAAACCGAGGTACCTCTCACGCGGTGACCAAAGCACTCAACTCACAAACTCGTAGAGAATACAGAGTTCAAAACTGAAAAACTAAATTGAGAAAAGACCTCCAAGGCCAATGCATTGGACTACTTTATTCATAACTACCAAAATTGTCACCAGCTGCGATGCAAGCACCGAACAGGTCCTACACCTACGGAGTCGGCAACAGACTTCCCCTCTAGCTTACGACCTAACCCTAATCTTCTCAAAACGCCTACTAGCTCTAACTCCAGATTTGCTACCGCATCCCGCGATCTCAAGAGATACGCTTCGAACTTCTTGGCTAACCTGCGATGCCTTCGTCCGCTTTGCGCTATCAATTCGGCCACACGATGCTCGATTTCGCGTAACCGAAGTCCGTTGTGCGACTCGATCTGCTATAAAACATACCCGAGCAAACACCGCTCCACTCTCGCAGTTGAGGCGTCACGCGTATCCTCGGATAATTGCCGATTCTTCCCCTCGGCCTCCGTCAATATCTATTCCACCTCGCATAACTGCTCCTCCGCTTGGGACTGTTGCGTCCTCAGCTCGCTGCACTGCATCTCTAGCTTCTCTATTCACTCCAAATCCGAGATCCGCGCAGCTTTGTACTCAGCCAACTTCTTCGTCCTTACCGCCAACTCGATTTGGTACTCTTGCTCCTTCTTCTCCGCGGTGACCAACAGCTCATGGACCTTCATTGATTCAGCATCATAAGCAATCCGACACGCCTCCAACCTCTTCAAGGGGTCCACCCTTGCGCACTTGGCCCTCTCCACATCCTCTCGAAGACCCTTGCAGACCTGCTTGAAATGCCTTTGCTTCTCAACCTCCTCAGCCAGCTTCTTCTGAAGTGCATGATACCTTGCTTCTGCTGGCTGACTCTTGCGTTCCTTCGCGGCGACCTCAACAGCCACCACTACCTTGGTCCGTGTCCGATTACGTACTATCTCCACGTGGGATAGTACGTGGAGATAGCACAGTCAAAACCTATTTGATATTACCAAAGCTATGATTTTACAATTAACTCTGTTGTAAAATTTAATAAAAGGGACTATGGTGCTTTTGGTTATGAATAAATCTGAATACTTATAGATTATTATGAATGTTAGTCTAACTATCAAATATTTACTAGGAAAATCAATTAAAATATTCAATATAAATGAACATTTATATATACATTATATCAGTACTTAAGAGAAATTGAGAGTGTAGAGTTTTAAATCCATACATGATATTTATCATTTGTTATTATCAAACATATTTTTAATGAAAAGTCAATCCAAAATTATCTTTTCATATGTATGCTCAATACACTTTCAAAGCCTTGGTTATCAATTGCAACAAGCTAGAAAATTTTGTTCAACATTTTTCCCTCAGAGATCAAATTGCAAATCATATTATGCATCAAAATGTCTAGTGTTTGATTGATATTAATCAGCATGTAATAACTCTATGTGAATCCGAAAATTTGAGAATAATTATTCTCTGTGTCATTGTGGATGAGGTGTTAACGATTATGCATGAGAATGAACATCAAGATGATTTGCAGTTGACGAGTAATAAGTTGTACGTATGTTTGTTTCAGGATGAACAAATAACCGTTGCAAACAAGGTGATGATGAATACTAAAAGTGATAGAAACTGTTTTCGAGAAACTAATTAGACGTACTATGTATGGATTACAAATAGTGCAACATGGACAAAGATATCACATCTTTACCAACAGGTTTATACTACTATCACTTTCATTCCCGTAGAGATAAAGGGTGCTACACACATTATCGGTTCGTTTCTACTAATGCACTACTATGAGTTGTGAACAATGAACAAGTTTTTATAAGAAACAAATATTCTTAGACAATGTATCCAAAACCTATATCATTGAATTTGTGCCGAGCCCACACATAACTCATTTCACACTTAATCTTGATGCCCCTCCTAATCTGATACACTGCCGTGGGTGGGAATGTAAAAATATGCTTAGAATTGGACGACCAAACGCTTACAACCAAGACACTCGATTAAGACCCTCAAATACAAATAGCCCAAGGAACTCATGGCGTCAAATAAGGTATCATCTCATGTGAAAACTTTATGTGATACCAAAGTAGGTCTAGTGCCAATGGGACCAGTTATTAAGTTATTTCTAGCTCTGAACTTTGATTTGACTCACTCTGAACGCCTCTTGAGGTCTAACGTAGGATCTCAATCTGGTTCCTCTGACCGTTTACTGAACCGACTTTATTAGTACAATTCCTGTCACATAATGAGTAAGTTCTGTTTATTCGAGCGAGTCATCTCGCATAAGCTTCGACCTACTCTTAAGTTTTGCAGCTCTTTATGGAGAATCGGTAAAGGTCTTGTGAAAGTTTTCCGGAGATCTACGAGTTCCATCTTCAATGAAGGATTTTCTGCGACAAGAAGGAAAGAATCTTCCGAATTTTATCAACCTAATCTCGTATCCTGTACACGCTTTTGCATTGATAATTTTCTTCGCACCTCTTAAAAGATGACAACATGAAGTATATTCCCTTATGAGTTTTTAACTGCATTCCATAGCCCTCTCAGTTTCAGATTACTAAGAGCACATGGCCCGTTGATGCAAATATGGGATACCCTTGTTTGAGCAGGCCGTTGTGCACAAGATTCAACTTCTAATCTGTATCTTGTCCAAAAAAGACCGCTTCCACCAATTCTTAGTAGACTGCTCTGGCCGACCGAGTAGTACTCATCACTCAAAAGTAGAACTTGGAATTCTGCAACGACACCATCATAGTACCTGATCTCTTCGAAAGAAGATCGTCAGTGACCAGAGCATCCCGCATCCAAATTTTTTAGTTGATACATGTCAGCCGTGGTTCTTACGACAGGCTTCGATCTCCATGAAATCATCTTGATCCTCAAGATGTGGGACTTCTCATGCACCTCTGAATCAAGAGTCCGAACATTCTTTTAACTGCTCAAGGTGCTCATCGATCTGCATGCAGTATTCGACAGCTCCAACATGGAGCTAGTTTTAAAAAGACCTCCAACCGGCACAAGCAGGAAAAAATCTTCTCGGTCGTCTCGTTCAACAAGTATTTCACTGGCCATGTAAGTGGCTGATAAGAAGAGAAGAGAGCTCAATCGGACGGAACAAATGAAGAGATACCAAATAAAGGGACCGAGTCAGCTCAATAGAGCGAGTCAAAGCATGACGAGCACCGATTGTCAAATGGCATGAGCTTTCTTAGAGCTGGTGAGGATCTAGTGCAAGACTCGAAGGGGTGGTATATAAGTGCCGGCCTCACACAGAAACGGATTGTTATCAACACGGTGATTCTCAAGATCAGCGTAGAACTGGTACTCTGCTTCGTAATCATGAGCGTAGTGCTCTCGGAGTTGACTGCTGTGAAAGTGATGCCTGAACTGCAACGTCTTGCCAAAACCCACGAGATCCACATGTTCACAGAGTCCAAGAGCTAACACAACCGCTTGCATACCAGAAGAGTAATGATGTTCGTGCTTGTGCTTGGCTTCCCAATCATGGAGCAGTTCCCACTGTCTCCATTTCGAGGCGTTAGCGCCTCCCGCTTGCTGGAAATAATTCCTGATTGAGTACCAGCGAGCAATCTTCGTCACGAGCAAATCGAATCGCCGATCTGTGACGAACAATGGGGAGTTGTGCTCACCTCCACAGATGGCTACGTCCAGTATATGCTCCACGTCGCAGAGGTACAAGACGATGGGCACATGTTTGCCATAAGGATGGCAATAGCACTTGCGGTTCTTTGTGCACTGGTGCAAAATATGGCTGTTCATAAACATCAGCGTCGTCTTCGAGCCGATGAAATCCGACAGGGGCCGCTTCTTCTCCACTGGCTCCCTCCCCTTCGCGTTGTTGATTCGAACCACCAGGTCGTGCTCATCGATGAAACTTCCGCCCGTCCTGTTGAGCAGCTCGCCGCTGTTGCCCACGACCACGCATGATTTATAACGCTGATGGAGATTTACGGGGGCGGACGAGTTTATGGCCTGGTAGTGCATGTCGATGTGCGTTTTCACATTATCAACCAAGCCCTGCATCACTCGAGGGTCGTACCCCATGCGCATGTTCTTGGCCAGCGTTTTCATCCTGAGCATGAACCGAGGCCGCATGAAAGCATACCCGGGTTTGTTCAGCATCCTCTCGAGCGCCATCGTGAACCTCTCGCCCAGCATCTCGCTCAGAGCGTATTTCAGCCGAGCTTCATCCGTGTCTGCATTGGCATAAGAGTGCAGCGTCCTGTTATAGGAATCGGCGAAGGTGGCGGCTGTGCGCTGACACTGCTCTGCATACAGAACTTCGAGACGATCCCTCGGCTCGAACAGAGGCTGCACCTCGGACGGGCACAGCTGGAAGCAGAGGCTGCGGATTCCTTCTATGAGTACCGGGCTACTGAACCGGAACCCCGTTGCGATATTTACGACCATGAGAGCAGCCAGCAGGAGAAATATTATCTTTGCAAATTTTGCGCAGCCACAGCAGAAACAACGCCCGTCCGTCCATCCCTTCGGCCTCTTTCCTTTCCGCTCCATGGACCAATTCCCTCACTCGCCTCGCATCTCGCGCTCGAATTCTATGCTGCCCTTCGAAACATTTGGCTCTGGCGGCATCTTCATGCATAGCCAAGCTCTCTGGACCTGCTCCTGCTCGCGAGTAACGGTTTCCACCCCAGGACCGGACGCTTTCTTGGCCGAACTCGAGTACCAAGAGATCGACTTTTCTTTAAGCAAAGGAATCAGTTTCAGCTTCAAGACGGCAATAATCTAGCTATCGCGCAGAGACTTCGAAATCTGCATCGGCGTTGCGTCCTCGCACCCATCGGGTTTCTTCACGTGTAAAGAGATGCAAGATGATCCCCCGGGAGAATGCAACTTACATCGTGCCTGGTGAATTCATAAAATCGCTGGGTCGGTCTTTCGGGGCAGCCTGTGTTGGATCAAATTCCACCCGGAACTGTGGGGTGGTCTTCTTGGAAAGCAATTACTACGCGCAGCATCACTCAGCCGATGGAGCGATCACCCAATTCCGCTGGCCGGGCTTCATTCGCGCAATTGAGCGACTCCAGTGTGTGAGTACAGCATCTCTTGTTGATCTGCTTAGCAATCGCCCATGCAGCTGCAGCGGCAGCATTTGACGGAACCGGGTGCTAATGGGTTTAAGATCGGATCGTCGATTGTTTTTTCCAGTTCGAAACATGAATTGGACTACGAAAGTGAAGAATCTGTGGCCAACTGTCGACCGACAAGCTCGCGTTCAGAGTTCCGGAATCCAGAATGAAATTGGAAATTGTCTTTCTTGTTGGTGACGCTGGTGGCAACATGCTCGGCAGAAAAGAGAGCCGCGCAGGGAAACCAAGATTACTGAACCGACAGTTACGTTGGACTACGGTGAACACGATTTGGTTTGCTGCTAACTGCGCTCCACAGCCGTAAACAAGAAAAAGTTTTCCCACGATACAGTCTGCGGTAGACTCTTTACTGTCTATCATACCATTATACTATTACAAGTTACAATATCTCTTTGTCTTTGGCTGACAAAATAAAGGATTGTTGAGGATGTGTGCATCCTGTATGAGGAATAAAAGATTTCGAGAGAAGAAGTATATGCAAATACCCATCAAGTCTCATATGGATGGAACGAAGATTTTAACATTGGGCTTTATCTAGTAGCTTTAATGTGTTAACATCGAACATATGCAAACTATCTAAGTCAAACAAGTTACAAATAAAATGAGAATACGAATAAACATATGTAGATAGTTTTATTTTATGACCAACAATTAATGCTCTATGTGGCATTGAAAACTTCGTGAGAGTTTGGAGTTTTAGATTTACATTTACACCTAAAAACAGTAGTACCTCAACCGCCTAATAAGATAAGATCCCTCTCATTATCTTATACTCATATGAAATTTCCAGTCTAAAACTATTGTAACTAACTAACTATGTATATATATATATATATATATATATATATATAATACAATTCAGATTCATGTACATCAATATACCCCTATACAAGTATATACCCTTTACTTGAGTACATTTTGTACCCAAGTATGGGGTACAAGTTGAGCTGATGCCGATTTGGGTAGGATGGATAGGACTCCCTCCATGTTATACATAAGATCTATAAGCATCACATTGTGACAGTTACATGGTTATACTGACCCGAGTGTAGGTCTAATGTAATCCTAGTCAATGGCGATGCATGTTAATTTTCTTTGAATGAGATGTATTTAACTTTTTTCCTTTATAACAATACCACATTCTAAGTACTGTACTTACTATCTCTTACTTTTGTATTGTATATGCAAATGAAGTAGTTTAAAATGCGATAGATCTAAAGTAATTTACATTTACAAAGGGATATCAATATATAAATGAATAAGTATTTAGTATAGAAGATAATTATTATCTCACAACCCCATCCATAGAATTCTCTGTTCTTTCATGACCTTCAAATCCAACTAATATATTCACATCCTCTATGATTTGTCCATTAAAAGTTATCTAGAAATCATATCTTTTCATTCTGAATCACCTCTATTATCATTTAGAACAACCGAAGAGTATTACAAATAAGGCTTTCTAAACTTTGTGATGCCCATGAGAATTAAGAAGTTGTGTCAGGAGCATGCATCTTGAAAACAGCGTATGATAATGTAGATTTTAGTTCTTTGACTAGTCAAGGAAGTGATTCTTTGCTAGCTAAGTCTGAATCAGCTTCTAAGCATATCTTTCTCGGATGAGCTCATAAATGAATTAATACCTATGTACGTCAAAATAGGATGGTTATGGAGTATTGCAAGTGGGAGGTTTAAAAAATAGTGCCCTTAGTTATTTTGCCATATATTCAGATTGTATCCCGATTCATATAAAGGTGAAAGAACTTTTCTTAAGATTGGTTTTTTTCATCCTTGCTATTTTCTCTTGCGAGGAAGAAGAAAGAATATGTATCATGCATGGTGGTGCTTCGCTTTGTTATTTACGTGTGTCCTGATGTGCAAACATACAGCAATTATGTGAACGACTACGGTGCAATAAACTACGCAGCTTCAATATTCGGTAAAGAGATCATGTTGATATGAAGGTTCCGGTGGTATAATTGGTACGTAGGTTCAACTTTAGACTAGCACTTTTATAATGTGATGATGATAAATAATAGCGCATATATATATATATATATAAATAATCATAATGAATAATTATAAGATCTAATTTTACAACTTAAATGCACATATATATATTGATAATAATCATAATAAATAATGAAATTATATCAAATGCGCACATATATTGATAAATAATCATATTAGATCATTATAAAATATAATTTTAAAACTTAGATATGCATATAAAATGAAAAATTATGATGGGTGTCATCAGTAAATAATAATTGTATCCTTTCACATCAAAATTTCCATGATGTAAATTCTAGAAATACTGGAATATATATATATATATATATATATACATATAAAATATTTCATTTCATCAAGGAAATATTTGATATAATTGTGAAATATCAAGGAGAGATATCTAAACAATACTTCTGTAAACTAATCATTTTCCCAAGTTTCAAACCTTGTCTTTGAAATCAAGATATGCCTCAATAAAGAACAATGCTCAAATATGTAATTAGTAAGATTGATCATATAAAAGATCAATCTAAGAGATTTGTAAAATTATTGACAAATAATTTCATTGAAATTCTATTAACATTATTGGAAGTGATAACATGCTGTAATATATAAGTTTTAGTAGATTGATTCTACTCAAAATATTTTTTCTAATTTAAAATTTTAAATGAAAATTTAAATTATTCATATAAAAATTCAAATACACATCATCTTTTGATTTTCTCTTTTTGGTAAATAATTTAATACTTCAAAAGTAAATGATTATATTATATCACTAAAATTAGTTTGTATGTTTGTATTGTAGAAAAATATGTTTATTTCTTAAAACTTAAATTAGTAAATCTCATTTGTTGATGTTAATATTGTAGATAATTTTTTAATTTCTTCAAATTCTAAATAATTAACTTGATTCGTGAATACTCATTTTTTATGTTCATATTCTAGATAAAATGTTTGTTTTTTTCATTTGAAATAAATAAATAAAACTAATGTTTTGATTTTCACATTGTATAAAAATTTTAATTTTCTAAATTATATCAATAAAAATCAGTGTTGGATGTTTATATTGTAAATTTTTTTGATTTCTTCATTTTATATAATCCAATTAAATGATTAAAAATCATTTCTTGATGTTTTATTGCAAAAAAAATTTATTCCATAAATTTCAAACAAGTAACTGAATTTACTAAAATTTTTTTTTATGTATATATATTTCTTCAGTTACTTCTTCCCTGAAGATTTTAACTTTTATAAAATATATATGGGGAAACATAACATGACGATGGTGAACATAGAAAAAATATATTTATTTGATTTATCTACACTTCCTTGAGTATGTTTAGTTAACCAAAACAAAGATTACGTTTGAAATTAAGCATTGAGATGTAATAATACATAACATAATCACAATCCTAATATGTAAAATCAATTGCTTCTCATTGGTTTTTTAATTCGTGTTATTTTTTTATGTTATCTATTTATTTATTAAATAAATAGATAACATAAAAAAGTGTTGAGTTCAATTTTAAATATATCAATATCAAATTGGACCGAATCACCAAACATTCGTTTTGGTGATGTTTGCATTCTCCATGACATAAGTCGTGTACTCCATCAATTGCTTTGAATTTCTGGTTAAAAAAAGAATTTTTCTCATTTTATATCTTATGAAACCACCGAGGATTACAAGTGTTTAAATATTTTCCATAGAGTCTGAATTGGTTGAAGAAACTCCTTGAATCACTAAACAACAATTTGCTTGAAGAGTTCTAGATAGTACGCACGCATTCATACAGCTCATCTCTCATATGTTTATTATGAAATTAAATACATCGATACTATATTGAAGAAATCACCAGCAGGTACATTTTTAGTAAATTAGCTGCATTATTCAAAGCTTGTCTTATCAGCAGTAAGTGACTCACTACACACAGTAATGAAGGTGTCTACCCTTGTAAATTTAAGAAATCCAGCTGTGACTAGTGCAGTAAACAGTAATTAGAATGAGAGAGAGTATGATAAACATACATTTTTAGCTTCAATTTGCCTTACCGAAGTTCAAGCGGAAAGACTTCTCCAACAGGTGCGGTAAGAAGCGATCCGTTAAACTTCCTGCAGAGATTGTCAATTTCGTCACAAGTTTGTTCTTACTGTGATTCCAGACTGACTGCAAAACTCGGCAGTCTGTAGCAGGAACGGGGAATGCGCCAAGGCTGGACCGGTGTCTTGATTGAGCGACGGCGCTGTTATGGCGTTGCTGCTCTGCCGATATCGTGCATGCCTTTTCAAACACGTGTCACATGGCGGGAACGCATTTCCAGCCCTTACTGGACGCTCAGGCCTCGTCAGTCGGAGTCGTGCAGGGGTTTCTCCCCTGCACACGGTGCGAGTGAAGGTCGAGCAGTCCGCTGGCGGAGGGAATTATTTGAGTTTTGTTAGACGCCCGAGAGCCATTGGAAGCCCGAAGCACCTTCATTGAAAAGTGCCCTGTTGACATCGTCGCGAGCTTGAAGAATGAAACTCAGGGTTTTTGAATAGGCGCAGAGCAAATTTTCGGAGAGAAGATGCGCCGTCTTCGTCTTGTGTACACTGAAGTGCACACTCCTTCTACAGGTCTCGGCAGCGATTGAGCTTCAGGCGGTGCAATGTTCGGGAGAGTCTCCATGGCGTCTTGCATGAAATCGGCGTTCGCTTTACCCGCATGAGCTCTGTCTTTGCCGGGCGTCCTTATGGCTTCCAGAAGTCGACTTTACGCCCGCTTCTGGTTCGGCAACCTAACTAGGTCCGTACAACGCTCCTTACTTTCTCACATACCTCGTTCGAAAGGAAAGCAACGTCATGCTGTCTTCGCCTCCATCGATTCTAGCACAACCATCTTTGGTTTGGTTTGTTTGCGTGATTGTGTTTACCAGTCCAGCGCCACGAAAGCGAATGTGCAAGTCTCAGCAGTGCGATTTAGGAGTTGAGTTTGTAGGCTGCGAGTGGTTCGAATAGACTCACTGCCTGGTCCTCGTAGTTATGTAGCCTTCCTGTCTACAGTGTTCTTGCCGTCGACTCGAGTTCACTGTTAATTTCTTGGTAGAAAAGATGAGAAATTATGTCTGAGGTTTAATGGTAACGAAAAGCGGTGGAATGCTGTCGTTGAGAACCAGTACATTACAGTACATCGTGAGTTGTTCATGTCCTAGTTGTCTATGTCGGACACCTGACATCCGGCCTATTAGCTCAGCTGGTTAGAGCGTCGTGCTAATAACGCGAAGGTCACAGGTTCGAGACCTGTATGGGCCATTTTTATCAGTGTCTCCTACTGAACATTTGACACTGAGTTTTCTGGTTCTGGATGGTGGTTGGGTCTTGTTAACAAGCTTGTGTGTTTTGACAACTCCAATCAGTTGGTAAAGCGTTGCTCTATGGGCCATCTTTTACCAGTCTTTGCTATTGAACAATGTACAATGTGATTTAGTTCTTACGAAGACCCACAACTTGACATGTGTGGGTTGGTGTTGTTGTTTCCAAGCAATTGGCCTGTTTTCAACTCTAAGCCGTGCTCAGAGCGTGGTGGTGCCTCATTTTGTCTCAAATTCTGTTTCAGTTTCTTTGTAATCGTCAAATCGACACGTGCAGTCCGATTCTATGTTTTGAATCGACAACCACGGTTTCAGTTGGCCTATTAGCTCAGTTGGTTAGAGCGTCGTGCTAATAACGCGAAGGTCACAGGTTCGAGACCTGTATGGGCCATAGCTCGTTTCGGGTCAATTTTCATGAAACAATGAATTCTTGTTCCAACTGATCCGATTGTTTTCTCAATGAATTTGGGATTGTTTCGGTCATCAGATGGCCTATTAGCTCAGTTGGTTAGAGCGTCGTGCTAATAACGCGAAGGTCACAGGTTCGAGACCTGTATGGGCCACAGCTCGTCTTGGGTTAATTTTCACGAAAATGTGAACGTTTTGTTCACAATGTTCCATGAAAATATTTGATTTATGAAACAATGAACGTTCTGTTCCAGCTGATTCGATTTTTCACGCAATCGATTAGGGTTTGGCTTGGTCTTCGATAACTTTGAAGGCCACGAATTCAAGACTTATTGGGGACAAAGTTCGTTGTTGATTGTTACTCGGAGTACTTTACACGAGCTACGTCGATTCTTAATTAGTTTCGAATTGCATTGGTTTGATAAGATTGGTCAGTGAAACAAGCGAAGGTCTCTGTTGCGGAATATGTATTTGCCAAAATTCAATTTGAAAACTTCCTGTAACAGACGCTACGTTTGGGTAAGATTGTTGGGTAATGCGAAAATTATGTATCAGTTCATGGGTAGTATGAATGAGGCCGAATGCATCTGGCCTATTAGCTCAGTTGGTTAGAGCGTCGTGCTAATAACGCGAAGGTCACAGGTTCGAGACCTGTATGGGCCAGGAATCTTTATCTTTTTAATCTGTCACGTAGCCGACGGTGCTTCTCATTTTATTATATGATATGTATAATACGATTGGATTATGTATTGTGGAATCTCCACGTGTAGCAACCGGCCTATTAGCTCAGCTGGTTAGAGCGTCGTGCTAATAACGCGAAGGTCACAGGTTCGAGACCTGTATGGGCCAAAATTTTCTTTTCTCTGAGTCAGAAGCGTTCGTGATTTCCTTGCAACGGAGCTCTAGTCGCACCTCCTCCGTTTGTTGTCTGCCAGGTGTTGTAGTTTGGTAACAGGTGGAATTCTTCCCGTACGTTTTCCACCAAGCGTCGTAGTCTGGTTGGTATGTGGAGCTAAACTCATTTCTTGAAATTCATCCCATTCGAAAATGCGAATCTTATCCTGATAAATTTTTGGTTATATATATATATATATATTTCATGATTGGTAGCAACTGGCCTATTAGCTCAGCTGGTTAGAGCGTCGTGCTAATAACGCGAAGGTCACAGGTTCGAGACCTGTATGGGCCAGCTCTGTTTTGAGGAAGGTCACAGGTTCGAGACCTGTATGGGCCAGCTCCGTTTTGAGGAAGACGATTGTACGGTCGCATCGTAACATTATGGCTCTCAGATCGATTCTCACGTAGACTTCTATAGTTCAAGTATTTTCCGGTTCGAAGATCTCATTTTCGACCCAACGAGAGGAAAAAGGAATTGCCGTCAACTGCAGGGTTCGAACCTGCGCGGGCAATGCCCAACAGATTTCAAGTCTGTCGCCTTAACCACTCGGCCAAATTGACTGTTTTGCTTTTGGTGAGTAGCTTGAAGGTCAGTTTAGAAGTGTATTTATCCAAATGATTATATTGCTCCTCATGAGGAAATGAGTGAACGCCACTTAAGTTAGATTGAGGGTGAGCTTCAGTAACAACTACTAAATTCATCTACTTCTCACGCCATGCTGCACAAACAGCATTGGAAACTATGCACAGATGCCAGAGTAAATTTGCGTAAACATTCTGGTTGTTGACGCAAATTGACGATTGCCCTGGAAGTTACATGACTAGGACTGATAATTGCTTTCCGCACGGATCTCTCTTGGCGGTTTTCGTAGCAGTTTACAGTAATACTTTGGGAAGGATTTGCTGAGGTTGTTCTGAGAGGTCAAGATCTCTCTCTTCTCGAAAGACTTCCTCATGCCAATTTTAGCCCTGTCTTTGTACCTACAGTCTTTCTGCTAATTGCCTATGTTTGTAAGGGACACAGCATAATTCTTAGTGTCTTCAAACTTCCAAGTGCACTTCTGCTAACGGATGGCTGTCTCGTAGAAACTGCCGTGTGCTTCATAGTTAATACTGCCAGTAGTCCTTCTCAGTAACTCCTACAAGCGCTGGATCCCAATCCTCCACGGACCAAAGAAGCGCTATACATATAGCTTGTATGTAACTGGAGTCATCCACTAGAATTGAAGTCTAGTTGGCTTTAATGTTCGCAATGAGTCAGCTATGGATTCTGGTTGATTGATGTGGACCCTTCCCTTATATAACATCCTGATAAATCAGAGGCTTCAGGTAGAAAATATTTAAAAAACTTAAAATGGTAATAATTGAATGTATTAAGTCTACTGAAGCAAGATCCGTTGTAGTCTAGTTGGTTAGGATACTCGGCTCTCACCCGAGCGACCCGGGTTCAAGTCCCGGCAACGGAAGAAACAGTTTTCCTTTTTGCATTGTTTAGGTTTTCAGCAACTAGTTGAGGTTGACGGGACGACAAGATTAGCAAATCTTGATTCGAATCTTTCGTTGTCGCAGCTTGCTGTTGAACGGTATCGGCGTTACGACTGCGAGCAGTGGTATCTGTATTAGTCGTGTCGGTTTGTGTGAGCATCACTGCATTATCCGGCTTGTTGTACATCGGAATTGGCGGATTTCTCGCTACGATCTTTCTGGTGTTTACTTAGGTTGTGTATTACATATGTACGATTCCTGACATGTAGGTACTCGGATCGTAATCTTACCCGCTTCAGATTTCACATTCGTTCTTTTGCTATTTGTGGAGAGAAGAGTTCACGTTGTGGCTGTGCCTTTGAAATCAACGGTTCGAATAACCGAAATAAATATGATTTTCCATTTACAAACATTATTTTCCTTTACCTGCGGCCCTCCTCCGTTGCCTGGATGTTTCTCATCTTTCGCCTTCGTTGTGATCAAAACGTATGGATACATAGTGTTTAGTATCCACCCCACGAGCACTGAAAATCATCTGTAATCTCGTAAAGGACTATGTTAGCACCTTTCAAAATTAGAATCATAAATTTATTTTGCGCATCGTCTTCCCAGTGTGTTTGACTGCAGGTTCACAACCTTGGCAAATTTCGAACAAATTCTTAGATATATTCAGTTCTCTAGCATGTCAAGCAAAGATATGAAATAGGCAGTACTGCTGAATATATATATGGAGATAGGATAAAATATGTAGTGATATGAATTTGTTTTTTAATTCGACTTTGTCGACTAATCCTCTCAAGTACAGCATGCAGATTGGGCCGTAGTGCTCCTCAGCTTCCCGCGACCGATTCGCGGAGGAACTAAGCTGAGGAACATTAGTAGCTCCTCAGCTTAGCTCCTCCGCAAATCGGTCGCGGGAAGCTGAGGAACATTAGTAGCTGTCCCTTCTTCTGTAAACCTCATGAAGTTCCAATCCACCGCGCATGTGAAAATGAGCTCACACAGGAAAGACTTCCCTTGCACTATGCCACGGTTAGATTCAGGATTTTTCGGTGAGAGCTTTGTGTGAAGGCCAGACAGCGAAGACAAGGAACATTAGGGAAGGTGTTGCATGCGGAGAAGTTAATAATTGCTCCCTGAATCTATCGGTCTTCAGAAAAGTAGCCCACTTTCTCTGATCGTGATTCATGAAGATTCATATAGATTCAACTAAAATATAACCCTCCCTGATTTGCTTTTCGGATCTGAAGTCAGGATGTGAGCAACTTACGTGAACGGGTCAGGCGAGGGAGCAAAACAAGACCAGAAGAAGACGATACGAGTGTCATCTCAGTGAGGATGCGCGAGTCGTGTGGATGCGCTAGCTCTTCGCCCGCGCATTCCGACTCACTCATCTTCAAAGGATATTCACAGCTGACGACCGGCTCTTGCTTGACGATTCTTGGCCGCTGAAGGTAGAGAACGTAGACTGTCATGCGAGGAACCGCTCAAACTGAAGGTTTACCCACTGAAGGGGATTCGATTGTCGACGTTTGCTAGCGTAGATCTCTTTTATACGCAGCGCTGGAAAAGTCTACCTTTGCCGAAGTCGTCAGCAAACTCAAGGAATCATTTTAAGAAGTGCTCGTATAAGTCTACCTCTGGCAGGTCTACGACCCATGCTTGAGGACGGGCTCGCGCACTTACACTACAATGAAGCGGGGGCCATGTTTCGTGAAGCGGTGATCGCATCAGAATTGGTTGATGCCGGAGGAGGATCCGGAGGCAGTCAGAACTCACCAGCCCTGTCTGGAATCGAAGCTGCCAAGGTAGGGTATGGTCTTAGATATCTGGGGACCAGCTCAGTTCTGTGCCGGTGTTCATCATTGAGGACCCTCAGGTCAGCTGTAAATCGCTTGCGACAGCAAGCGATTTGCAGCTAACCTCAGGGTCCTCAATGAGTTGAGCAAGCTCTCAACTATTACAACGCCGTAGCAAAGTATCTTCGGGCATGACTTCTGTGAAGGCATGGTCGGCAATAACTTCTGGTCGACCTATTTCGCTGATCTCAGTACGTTGTCGTGACCTTCTGAAACCCACGGCAATACTTGATACTACTTTCGTGCAAGAAAATTCTGTTTGTAGATCCAAGGTAAAAGAGTGCACTTTAGCTGCCTAAATCAGTCAGGGGTTAACAAGTTTGCGTATGCAGAATTTGAAAGCTGGAAAACAAGCGCTTCAGAAGCTGAGGAGCCTTCGAATGTCTCAAGAAAAAGCGACTGAATAATGCCCGTTTACCTCGATGGAGCACTTTGTTGAAAGGTACTCGCTAGAGTTCGTCTGGACGAAACGGAATCCAGTTGTGAGAAATCTACTGCAGCATCTACCAACCCGGTTGTTCATATTTGTCCATAGAAGAAGGATAAGGATAAATCTGCCCGCTGGCTATATCGGAATCGTGGTATGCAATGCCTGTGCTGTCAGCAGCGAGACATAAATCAGAACGAGATCACTGACGCATGTTGCAAGCCTGATTTGGAAAGCTAACTCCGTGCCAGAAGCCCTCTTCCACTGCACTTTGCCATGGAGTGAACATCAGCGGGGAACTAGCACTCGACCTCACCTCACTCGCCTCGTCCGACCCATGCCGGACGGCGTCAAGGCCTCGGAATCGGAAGGCTCCCTCAGTCCCATGTCGCTCTCTCTCTCGCACTCGGGCTCGCTCCCGGGGCGCAAATTGCAAATTCTCACGCCAAATCGACGACTTTCGAAGGCTCCATTCTCGTCCGACTCGATCGCAGGCTGACACAAATAAGTCCTCGGGGGGCAATCGATGCGAAGAACCCTCGAAAGCTTGTGCCTGCCCCTACCGGTCGGTGTCGCACTTCCGTTCCAAGATAGCGGGGCCTCTAACTTGACTCTCTTGGGATCTTCCCCTACGACGCGGTCTTCAACTAAAGTAGGGTGAAGGATAAGCAGTGAAAAATGAAGGCTAGTTATCTTTCACTTTTGGGATGATTAGTGAAGGCTAATTATCTTTTGGAAGTGTGTGAGAAGGACCCTTGTTTACTTTTAATGATAATGTTATAAGAATCACACAAAGATATAATTTTTTAATTCTACATGACATTAAGTATGAATCATATCTAGCTTTAATGAAGAGCAAGACATAATAACATCTTCTCCATGGTATTGCATCTTACAAAAGGTCATATTTCAACAGAAAATGTTACATGCTTAATGTTATCTCGAATAATTGTACTTTATATTTTAGATCCATAACGAGTATGATTGTGTTTGAGCATTACTTTATGAACCAAAATCATCATCTACAGCACAATCTTCATTTACTTTATGCTTAAAACAAATTAAAAACAATTGACATCAATCAATTTATATCTATTGTGAATTAATATTTGACTGAAAGAACTTCGACATCCAAAGTACTCAAAATCTCATCTCAGATTCCAATCTCTATTTTCGAGGTGGTATTTTATGTACTCTAAATATTCTCTACATTAAAATTATCACATAATAATTTATTTTATTTCATTGCAGCAAAAATCAATCTGAGTTTAAAAATTCTAGGTTACAAAAGTAACTTCATCCAGATTCAAATAATTGAAAGTTCACTTTCTGATTAACTTCAAAGACTTAACCTTCAGATTTGCTAATTCAATTTTATCCTCCAAACCCTAACTCTACTAAAAACTTTGCCGGGTTCATTTGCAATCCTAGTAAGAACAGACTCAATAAACTCTAACTCACGTATCTACCCCTACACATGAATCTCTACCCCCTTAAGAGTGTGTGTGTATATATATATATATATATATATATATATATATGTGCTTGCTTACTTGTTTGACACGGACATAGACCGAAGAGAAAAAACGATGTGTATTAGTTACTCTTGCGCCATGTATTTTCCTCATTCACAAGCAAGTGGCTAAATATTTGGATACTTCAATTCACCGAACCGATTACCATTAGAAAAAAAGCTGAATGAAAGAACGTGCCAGGATGGACATACATACTTTCACCGGTTGATATGTCCAATAACCTTATACTATGTAAAGTCTACACAGGTCCCAGCCGATGAAATATAATGGTCTTTGATGGTGCTAGTAGTGACTGACGTGACAAGCAAATTAGACCAGCCATGAGCCTATATTTCATATATTTCATGCAAAGAAGCGAGAAGTTACACCGGAGATGGCCATAAGCCGTCTCAGGTCCCTGTTCTCTTGTACTAGCATCGTACTTTCTAAAGAGTACACGTGTACCCAGACCTTCAAACATGACCAGACTGTACGTCTTCCCTCTTGCAATATACAAGAACAGTAAATTGGTTGGCTGCGGTCACCGCAAATGCAGCAATGATTTCAGCTAATTTCAAGCAAATCAGTTATACATTGCTATTAGTCACCATCCCTTAACCTTCAACCATCCTGGCAAATTTATTTTGGCAACGGAACGATATTCCATGATTACGGATAGTTACTGTTAGCCGCCAAATTTCTTGGGAGCTTATGATGACCACAGTACAGACTAGAAGATTCGAGAAACCGTCACCTTAGTGCCCTAAATGCACATCTCGTAGTGGTGAGGGTAGTTTACAACATCAAACGATTGCGTCATTTTCTTGGTTGACAAAGTTGTGACCCATCCGTTCCTCTTACCGTCATCGCCAAGGATTTCTGTCTACCGTCGGCGGTCGTTCTCCGTCTCTTTTGACAACACTTGATATGGGAAAGAATACGTGGGGATTCAGAGTACCAACAAAACTTGAGGCTAGGCAGACGAGAATCGGGTCTTGCCCACCTTCGGTTCGATTCAAGTGCTCAACCCCTTGCTCGATGTCCGACAATCTTCACGGCAAGTCTATCTCTCTGATTTACAGTCATGCGCTTCTGTGCGCTAATCAGGCATGCTTAACATCGCCTCCGTAATTTATAAATGCGCCGCGTTTGCTTTGGGTACACAACATCGCAGCACAGTTGCATCTTACCTTGAAGTATGAGTTCTCAAGCCAGGGACGCTTGCGGAAGTGCAAAGCGTAGATTACCGGACATTGAAGATATTGCATCAAATGCAGTAAGTTATCCATCAACTCAACCTTGCAATACGTAGTCCATGGTCGCATGCTTGAGGTGTAGACAGCTCAAATTTAGTTTTGGGTTATCCCCAGCATAATACCTTGCCCACAAGGTTTTGTGCTTGAGATGTATTAGAGCAGAAGGTAGAGGCTTTATACTGCTTCATACAACGGCACCTGGTGTATTAGAGCATTAGGCTACGGTGTTTAGATGCTCCAAGTCGGAAGATGGAATTGTGATTGAGATTCATCGGAAGATATGGCATTTAAATACTTTCACATATTTTTAGAATCGGAGGACCAGGACACTCGAAGACGAAGCATCACTGGCGCAGGGAGCAGGTAAGGAGGACGTGAACGCGAAAGCACCGCCTCACGAGCAGAAGCGTGGAGGTTCAGTTTCCATGCATCCTGACATTATGCACGGAGATCATTCAGAGAAGGAGAAAGCCTTCATGGCCGCTCTCTCTGAGCTCAAAACGAGAGAGGTGGATTGGGCCTTGTGTTTGACAAATATTATAAAAGTCGACCGCGAAATCCAAACCAGAGAGGCAGAACTTTTTGGAGCTCTGACGGCACTCGAGAGAGCAAAGGCTGACAGCAATTTACGCCTCACAAGACATGAGGAGAGGCTCACAACGTTGAGATTGAAAAGGGAAGCCATGGAGAAAGATCTGGCCGAAATACGTTCGGAGCGCCGATGTCAGCAAGACGTCAGGGTCAAGGAGTTGGAGCGTACCAGTGATGCGCATTTCGCACGAATTCTCGAGCTGGAGGCAAAACTGGAGAGCAGCGAACGCTCGGCCGCTCAGGACTTAGAAGCAGAGAGAGAGAAGCGAATTTGTCGAATATGTATGTCCAATTCTCGAAATGCTCTGGTGCTGCCGTGCATGCATTTCCTATACTGCACTGATTGCTTGCACACTCACCAGAAAACATGCAAAGAGTGCCCAACCTGCAGAGGTCCGATCTCTGCTTTGATTCACTGCAAACTCAACTTGGACGACTGATCATGATATGACCTGCCTCATGTTGCAATTTCTTGGTTGAAAAAGTGATGGAGATATTCCCATTGTCAGGTTCAAAACTATCATCTTCTCCTAGTATATTATATCAAACTGGGAGCACTATTGTGGTTTAGACGACAAAGTAGGATGTTACGGTGGAAAATCTCCCAGCTCGGAGGTTTCGAGTTGTTAAATGTACTGTTTTCTACGTGTTGGCATTGTGAAAGCGATCGCTATATATACTCTCATAAACTCTCGTGATAGCTTGAGACTTTGGCATTCCAAATTGACAGTGTCAAGAGTTAATGTGTTGGCATTGTGAAAGCGATCGCTATATATACTCTCATAAACTCTCGTGATAGCTTGAGACTTTGGCATTCCAAATTGACAGTGTCAAGAGTTAATATGTTGTGTAACTTTAACTACAGCATTGTGAACATTGCTGCAGTTACTGTTACTTCACGAAGAGGTCTCTTTTCTCTCGGTCAGTACCTTTGCCTTTCACATTAGATCGTGAGGTCATTACAATGTAGGCCTCAAAGTCTAGTAATAGATTGTGGAGATTAAACTTGGGTGGATGGTTATACGTGTCTACCATGTGATTGAATGCGCTCTGTCCCATGTTCAACAGAAAAATGTATTTGTCTCACGTACGATAAAGCAACGAGATTTGGAAAATGGGAGTTTGACCTTAGGAGTATGAGTTCATAAGGAACCTATGACACGAAGGTTTTGTATGAGCATCGATCTCTGTTGAGGGTTATAGGCGAGTCAACCCGGAAAAAATACATGTTTTAAAAAGTGAGCAAATTTTGAAAAAGATATTATCTTCATCTTTTGTTGCTTTCACGTTCTGAAAATAAGAAAACAACGTCTTATGAATGGTCAGTTCAGATTTCTGGAGTCAAATCTTATCTGTAGAAATTTAAATCATTTCTTAGAACACTGGAGCGAAATTTCTAGAATATAATTGAGACTTGGTAGCACGTCCCACCTCATATATCACGTGAATCTGTGTTATATTTGTACCTCTCACAATTTTTATTGAAAAGTAAACGCTTGTCTAACCGTAAGTTTGTGAACTACATTCAGAAAACTTATACGGATCTTTGAGGATGTTGTATTATCCTGGAAGTGCTCCTCTATCGATAAATGTACAACTCTCATACGAAAAAATGGCACGTTGAAATTTTAAGGATATGGATGCGGAATGTATGGAAAAAAAATTACGCCCAAAACATGAAATATGAGATTTAGGATGATACATGCATGTATATTTTTATGGTTTGAATCAATTGTTGATTGTTAAAATCATACCTAATATTTTAACCAAAATAATTGTCGTTGTAAAACTATAAGGAAGTACTTTCATTTGGGACCAGGTTAGATCATCCATTTTATTATAGTGGATGAGTTTTACATATCATCAGTTATTGTGTATCTCAAAAAAATTTCGCTTGGAATACTTTAATCACCTACGGCCACTCTCTCTTTCATTATATGGATATATGAAAGTATTAAGAATCCGTTATTATCCCCTTCACAGACAGTAGTAATCTAATCTTCTGGCGCATGACACCAATGTCTGATGCCAAGTAAAGTTTTTGACATTGGTTGTCAAATTCGAAGATGACTTTAAATGAGGTAGATTGTTTAATAATTAGAGGATTACGGAAGAATATCAGTCTATTAGAAATAGCGTTAGTCGTTATGATGAACTCCTCGAGTTTTATTGCCTTGAGCCAGAATGAAAAAGTGCTCTTGTGGAAATGCCCTATATAATATATATTAATATAAATATGTTTATATATTAAATAATAATGACAACGTGTCAATATATTCTATAAAGAAGATCGTGAAGATCAGAACTACTTTAAACACTATATACTGATTTTACGCCATCTGAAGAAAGCAGTTTTAAAGAAAAATAGTCACGGCATTTGAGGAGCAGGAAAAGTGTGGAGTTGAACCCTTTATAACATGGGAAGTTTTGACTATACAGAGTTGGTGGACTTTACGTTCAGACGTGCTGAAAAGTCGAGATTACCTGCAAATGTTTCTTGTTTCTTGGTAATGATATTATATTGTTTTTTGGGGCATTTCACCTTACTCGCTGAGTATAAAATCAATGATCGGAGTCCTGATATCTCCAAGCAATTGAAGTTCATCTCAGTGGCATTGGCTCCCAAGAGACATTGGCACGGCCTCGCAAGTTAGTTTGTGGATTGTGTAGCAAGATCGACTGAAGCAACGAAGTGGCTGCATAATGGGGACCGATCATGAGTGGAAGATTGGTAGAGGAACTTCTCTTTCAGTCAGTAAGCTGTCACTCTTGCTACTTGTTTTGACTCTGGGCAGTGTCGAGTTCATGGTTGTTTCAGGTAGTCCTCTACAGACCAACCAGAACAGAAAGCTCCTACAATTGGTGGAGTTGCCAAGTCTGCCGCCGATTATTCTTCCGACTCTCTTCTCACCCCCACCTCCAAAAGGGAAGTCCCCTCCACCTCCCCCACCAAAAGAGAGATCTCCTCCTCCTCCTCCAAAAGATAAGTCCCCTCCGCCTCCTCCTCAAGTGAAGTCCCCTCCACCTCCCCCTCCAAAAGAGAAGTCCCCTCCACCTCCTCCACCAAAGGATAAGTCTCCTCCACCTCCTCCTCCAAAGGATAAGTCCCCTCCACCTCCTCCTCCAAAAGAGAAGTCCCCTCCACCTCCTCCAAAAGAGAAGTCCCCTCCACCACCTCCTCCAAAAGAGAAGTCCCCTCCACCTCCCCCTCCAAAAGAGAAGTCCCCTCCACCTCCTCCACCAAAGGTTAAGTCTCCTCCACCTCCTCCTCCAAAGGATAAGTCCCCTCCACCTCCTCCTCCAAAAGAGAAGTCCCCTCCACCTCCTCCAAAAGAGAAGTCCCCTCCACCACCTCCTCCAAAAGAGAAGTCTCCTCCACCTCCTCCACCAAAGGATAAGTCCCCTCCACCTCCTCCTCCAAAGGATAAATCCCCTCCACCTCCTCCTCCAAAAGAGAAATCCCCTCCACCTCCTCCAAAAGAGAAGTCCCCTCCACCACCTCCTCCAAAGGAGAAGTCCCCGCCTCCTCCTCCACCTAAAGACGACGAAAACGACGATTGATCTCGTCCAACTTTAAATGTTCTCCCTTACAGGTAACCATACTTTTCAGTGGTATCTTCAATGAGCACCGGCGTTTTTCTGAGACAGTAGCACAGAGCCTACTTGCAGGTCAGCTCGTTAGCTTGTACAGAAAATGTGCCACCACCTCTTTCCGCATTTTGTTTATGCTGTTGCTGTTTTCAGAGTCGTTTTTTTTAATTGTGGACTTTTCATTTACGTTCAGTTTTTTGTTGAAGTAGAACAGATTATGTGTTCTTTGAAGCAAGGAGGAGGGTTCGTTTACTCATGAGATGAACCTATGGCTACAAAGCTGCTTCGTCTGCGACCAAATAATCCACATATCACGGTATCGGTCGCCATGTTCAATATGGAAACACCATCTCCTGGACCGTCTGGTTTTCGACTTCGTTTTAGATATGCGAGTAAATACTATTTCGTAAGACCGGAGAGAGATACGAAGTCGTAGCATCTCCGATAAGTTGATTTCGTTAGAACTCTCAGTCCTGATTCTGCAATAAAGTGCAAAAGGCACGATTCGGTCGTCGATTTGAGCGCAAAAGATTTGTCTCTCTAGAAGAATTCTGCCTGGGCTAGGATTTTCATATCAAAGTATGCTTTAACGTTGTGAGTATATGATTTGTGATTGATGTTGGTGACATTCCTACGTGACGTGCATTAATTTCGTGCACAATATTTGCTGCATTCCAGTTTGCGTCGTCATCTTTGTTCGGCTCCATCTACTACTCTCTCTCTCTCTCACACACACACATGCGTGGTCTAATTCTTCATCCTACCCGTTGAGTGATCCGGAGGACAAATGTACATGAAGGTGGAAGTTCTTAGGCATGCAGAGAATTGTGTCAATAAACGCTAGACTGGATTCCGGGTTGAAGGCATCAGAAGATAATCGCTGTATTTGACGATATCTTGTCCGCGAACTAACATTTTATAAGCCTAGCTCGAACAAGTTTTTCGTTGAAATGATTTGGCATATTCACAATCGACATAGCTGCATGCAGAAAGTTGAGGCATGGTGCTCTTGAGATCGACAGAAACTCATGAGTACGGTAGCGGAAGGTACTCCTTGAGTGGACAAAATGGAGTATGACGGACCTCACGTTTTTCGACAGCGTAGGGAGCAATATACACAGGAGAATATTTAAACATTGGAAAGAATTAGTGTGATTTGCAATTTCTTATTTTGTTGGGTTATAAAATTTGATTTCTGTAAACAATTGTGACATAATAAGGAAGTAAGATTCTTGTTATGATTTATCTATTCTAGAAAAGGATTTAAGATAATCTTGTTCCACCAGTCAAAACTCTTACAAATTCTTTTCAAAATTTAAATTTTGTGCAGATCACTAAGATTTGTCAAACATTTTCCAGTTTGGTTTATATGCTATTTATTTTTAGTAGTAAAATAAAATTCATCATGTTAGATGAATTTTATTTTACTATTAAAAATAAATATAATAAAAAATATATATACAACGATGATTATGGTGATTCAAGTTTTTTATCACAAAATCAGGCTACACATATTAAATTTTATTTGAATATTGAAAAAATTGGAAAGTTTTACATTGATCTGATAAATGTAGAAGTTTTATATTATAGACGATTCATAAATATACATATTTAACATGTTTGTTTATAAAGTGATAATATCAAATTTAATAATTATGAATTAATAAATAATGATTAAATTAATAAATTTGTGAAATTATAAAATATATATTTTTATCAATCAATGATTATTCAAAACAGTACACGTTACAAGAAATAGTATTAATTTACAAAGAAGCAAGAAGACATCCAATTGGTGTTTATATTTGCAATGAACACTACTTGTATCAGTGTTTAGGAGAATGTGCTCCAATGCATGTATTACTGCCATACAAATAAGCAAGAAAAGAATATAATCTCGAATGCCTTGGATAATCCTGCACTCCAGCCATTCGATTGCGAGGAGCTGTAGTTCAGTTAGTCATGTGCATCCTGCACATGTAAGAATTCATAGCGAAAGCCGGAACTCGTTTTATTATGTGCATGAAAGCACCCAATGAAGGTATCAATTGTGGGCTTCGATCTCAAAAAGCAATCGAAGCAAAGAATGGTGCCTTCAGGAATGTCGACGTGCTACATCATTAGCTCAGCAAATCTTCTTCCCAAGGTCTTGAAGAATGTTGTGTAAGACCAATACAGTGTTCATTTTTACTCTTCCTAACAACTCTAGAGAACTAGTAAAACTTGCTAGCTAGCTTCGAGCTCTCTCGAATTGGGACCAAACTTCCTCCACATCAATAGTTTCGATTGCGGCTCAGTAGTAAAGCTCACCATGTTGGCTAGTAAGACTTCACCAAATGGCTAGCTTAGAGCTCGCTCCCATTCATGAAGTCTTGAAGCACGAGGTCCTGAATGACCAGGTGCACCAAGAAAATTGGGATGTTATACGTTTCAGCATCTACAATCGTAAGTGATTTGACAACGAAGAGTCTAGTCTGAGTCCACTAAAACAATTTTACAACTCAAAGAAACAATTATCAGCTTATGCTCTAGTTCTTCTTGGAGCAGACTTTGCGAATCTCTCCCTGAGATCCGGTCAGAACCTGTATCCTTCCCATCTTCTGCATAGCCAGCCCGAATTGGCTGAAAAACTTCGAGCTCGGGGATCGAACAAGATCCAGCACTTGCTTCAAACCGCTGCTTGTGGAGATGAGAGCATCGTCCGACTTGAAGATGGCTTTGTGATCCAGAACGTTAGTGAAGTAGTTGATGTCAAAGGTCTGGCCTCCCTTGCTTGAATCCAGTGCGACGAATTTGTTGGCGCTGCTGGCGGAGTTGGGACACACTCCTCTCTTCTCCCTGACGTAAGTGGTGTTGAGATAAGGGTCGGCACCACTCGCGCTTCCCCGAAAATTATAGATGCGGGGAGTGACCTTGCTGCAGTGGGTAAGTCCGATAGTGTGGGCACCTGAATCGAACCCATTCCCACAGTTTAGTGCAAGATCAAGGTTTGTGGATGAATTGCATATTCTGCTGGGGCTTTTGGCATCGGGAAATATTATATAATTGTGATGGTTAACTATAAACTTTGACATTTAGTTTCATTCCTAAGTCCACCTGAAAGGACGATCAAGTCCGATTGGCTGAGGCCCTTGCTGTTGAAGTTCTGAAGAAGCTGCCTGAAGCTGAACCCGTCACCCGGAAGATTGCTGGACGCGGCACTTGCGCGCGAAATCGTTCCATCCCTTCGACCGAGGGGAACCGACCAGCTTGGTCCTCCAATCTGCAATCAAATCAGTTGAACAGTTGAAAGACCTGACTCCACCGAACCGAAGTGGGTATCGAAGGTGATAGGAATTGAGAAGAAGAAGAAGAGCTTCCAAATCTTCCAGTTATTCCACATGGAGACCTCAGTAGTCAGATAATTTGTTTGTAGCATGGAGGCCATATAAGCCATGTTTCTGCACGAACACTGTCAGTCATGGTCTTCCTTGAAACTAGATATGCAATGAAGAAGATCAGGGCAGAACGTACAGTGGCGATGGCATCTCTTGCTGCTAGAGCCAGGATATCGGAACACGAGAAAACACCGGGACAAGTTCTCTCTATTGCCGCCTTCGCTTGATCGATGATTCCAAATCCTTGGAGTGAGAGGTTTGGTGGTGCATCCTTTTCTGCCTGATTACCAGGCGTCGAAGACAGTAGCACCGATCCGTCGCATCCCTGCAGCAGAGAATCTTAAGTTCATAGCGGTTTTACAAGTGGCAGCATAAAATTACGAGCTGACAAGTGGACAGCAGAAGGTTTGCATCTCGGGAAGTCTAAAATCTTGACCATCTGAGTGAATCATGACCACCTGAAAAAATTCTCGTACATTTGATTCCAAAAATGCTTACATTGACAAAACAATCATGGAAATGCAATCGGAGAAGGCCGGCGGCATTTCTTCTATCACTGCGAACAGCTGCGCTGACCACGTTGGCAACAGCTTGCACACCACCGGGACAGCTCTTTGCGTAGAAGCTCTGAGATAGCTGCGCGTCTGCCGTGGCAGCGTACAAAATTGCCAGTCCCATGAAAAGGTAGATTGAGGACGCCATCTTCGTCGTCAAAAATTGAATCTAATCTAAAATTTATCTGAACAAGGACGAAATACTGTCAGAAACATATCTGCAAATGTAAATGCTGCTTTTAGAAGTATTTGCAAGTCCTGAAGTATCCGAATTCACAGAAGATGAAAGTACCAGTCGAAAACGGCAAGTAACAGAATCGGCTCATCCTTTGCTCACCGTGCTGTGAAGCAGCGAGCTCAGCCGAGCTTGAAAGAAGCTGGGGCTGAGTGCTGCTTGTTTTGAAAGCTGGGAGAGGTCAACTGTGAATTATCCGATGTGTGTGATCTTCTTATAGGTGTTGAATCCAGGGTCCGACTCCAGTCGCCACTGACCCGGCATAATTCCTGCAAAGCAAGGAGTCAGAGTCTTTTCCTCCCCCGTTGGGGGATCTTGAACTTCAATCCAGCCTGACTGCAGATAGCACCTGGATTCGGAGTCCAGCCGAAAAGCTCCATGGTTGCCTCTAGGATCACAGGCTGCTTGAGTACAGATGATTGGCTGGCTCAACTATTCAAATTGGAGGCAGTCGGAAAAACTCTGTATCTATGCATCTTTCACAGGCTTCATCTCGAACAGTAGACGCAGGTCCAGTTGGAGCCTTCAACGACTGAGCTGCACTCACGGACTCACTTCACGCGCTCTATAACTCAATAAGAAAGGGCCATACATTTCAAGGGATAGTGCAAGTGAGGGATCACGACCTTCGAAATAAGACATGCAGGCATAGATTCCACCGGCCTCCTTTCCGTCTGCAGTGACAAACATCATGTGTCAAGTTGTGTTTTCGATTATTCAATGCCCGTGTCTGCTATTCTCCAGCTGATATCTAGTACTGGGGAACGTATCTCATCGTTGGGATATCTGAACTCAGTTATTTATCTAACTGCCCCATATTTCCTGCACAAAGCACTACGTCTTTTGAACACCTTGAAATATAAGGCGCCAAAGCAATCACGAAGTACTTCAGATCTCAAATATGTGTACACGAGCTACCATCTCATTAGAAGGCTATGCTTCGCTTACAGGAACATGAGACAAATACATCACATGTTTTCAAAGAAATGAAGCAATTGCGTCGAGGACATCCTTCTGATCTGAGAGGAGCTAGGAAGCTGCAAACTACACTACTCAGTAAGTAAACATAGCTGTGAATCACGTTGGACAGGAACCAGACTCTGAATTCTTTACTTTATAAAGTGGCCTCAGATATGAAATGTGGATTCTAGGCGATTCACGTCCCTCCTGGATTTGTACATAAGCCAACATGAACTGAAGATAATGTCATATGAAATTCTCCTGGATTTAAAATTCCTCCATTTCCACTAAAGCTATCAGCCTGCTCATGTAGGGGCTTGTTAATTTTGGTTTTTCTTCACACTGTCTGGCAAGCAAGGTCAATTTCATCTATCACGAAGAGATTGCCATTATACAACCTCACGATTTCAATTATTGGATAGATGTAATGGACTGAATTAGACGAAGATCCACTCTGATCATTCTAGATGATGAGTAAGCCCGACTACATCGAATCACGGGTTTCAAAGAACTTGCGGAGTTTACAGCAGTTGTTTTCGACTGTGTGAATTCAGCCTGCATTCGAAAGTTGAACAAACTGCCGTCAGTAATAAGCTTTAAACTCTGATCGTCAGTGGATTTCTCAGCGGCAAAATATTGTATTCTGTCTGGCTCACATTTCAACCCATTATATGATCAGTGCACTACTTGCTTTTATCGCAATTACCGCGATGCAGTTGCATCTAATGGCGAGGGGCATTTTGATATCGTGACGGAAATCGAGGTGGTGCGTCTTTAACTTTACTCAGTCAAGTCATCTCATCGATCAGGCATGAGAAAAATGTAGGGGCGACGGTGACTCTGATCAACTCTCTATATCAGGATCAGATTCGAGTATGCTATTTATCGCTTAGGACGGAGAACCAAGCAAAGTACATCTATCAAAAACAGCAATCACTACGATACCTGGCTCCGTTCTTTGCAAATCACGAGAATGCTCACGTGATCTCCGAGCACGTAAATTTACCTCACATAACTAACATATCTGGATGTATGCGTTGTTATCGGTAGCTAACTTCTGTGTAACTTTTATTTGTACAATTCATGAACCGGTAAACAAACTAGTGGTATGGTTCATTGAGATGGATTTGATAGAATTAGTGTTTAAATATAAAATTCGATAAAAAAATTTTAACGACTTTTAGAAAACTGATGCTCTACAGTTTTGTTTTAATTGTTCATTTCTTTACAATTCCACGAGAGTGTGTGTAAAATAACAATCTTCTTATAAGGAGCAGGGTACATGTAATTGGTTATTGACAATTTGCACATTTGACTCGAACACAAGGTTTCTATCTGTTTTATACACATTTAATTCATTATAGATTATGCTTTTATGTTTTTCAATTTTTGTGTTTGTTCAAAAATTTGTCAAGATTCATTTCAAAGATTAAGATATACATCAAATTAAATTGCTAGATTATCGCTAAAAACGTCATTTATCATTTGGTATCTGTAATTTCATAGATGTCGTTAAGTATTTTGTGGATTGAAATCTCAATTAGAGTAATTTTCAAGAGAAAATTGAAAAAATCATATCATCTTATATATGTACTGTAATAATCTTGTTTATTAGTTTTTTTATATAAGGTTATGAATATATATTTTGATATATAAATCTCCGGGATGATTTGATAATGTCCTTTTGATGTTGGTCACTCCTTTGGATCAATTCATGTAAGGCACAGTTGCTCGGGCTGAGAGACAAAATTTCATAAAGTGCAAGAACGTGGGAGGAGCAAATCAAAGGCGGTGGACATATGTACGCTACAGAAGATTATGAGCAGAGCCATGAGGTGCAAGACGTCATGAGGTTGAGGCTGACCAGTGAACGTATCACCCTCAGACGATTCAAGTTGAACTTACAACAAACTGCGAGGTCTATGTTCTCTTGATCTATTAAATTCTTCTCACAGTTTCCTTACTCAAGGCACGACAAAACCCTGAGACGAGTGTGAGTTTCTGGTTATAAGTTATCAACCCTCTGGAACTACACTGCTCGTATAAGTCCATGCCGCTTGAATGAGCCATATCACATGTAAAACCATTCAGTTGAGCTGCGTCACAGAAACAATCGGTGCTGTCTGCAAAAGAATTTCCAGCGATCTGCAACATCGTGAGGCAACACTAGAACCCGAGTCAAAGAATCCATAGCCATTGTATGGGACATCGCCTTCCTGACTGGAAATATCATTCCGGTTTGCTTTGGAGGAACTCTCGGTAAGCTCCGTGGCTTATGCTGCCAATTAATACATTGTTGTTACTTTTAAGAAGTTGCTGCAGCATATAGTTGCCATCGACGTGAAGCCGATCGACTTATTGGAGCAATTGAACCTGAAAAGATGGAATCCCCCAGAGTACTGTTGAAAACTTGATGGCAGCTGACCTCTTTACAAACATGTTCTTCTTTGAGTGAGCAGATGTGACGGGACCGATCACTAGACGCAACCAGCCGCAAGAAAGTCGTCACTGAATTCGTAGATAAAGATGAAGGAGAAGGTGACATCTGTAAATGCTGGAAGGGTACATCTTCACACAAGTATTTGGGTGAGTGTTCGTACATTCGACAGCAGAATTGAAAGTTATACAGGCAAGGGATTCTTGACATGGTGCACATGTCTTGCCAAGCTGCTGAAGAAGCATGAAATTATATTCCATTGTCAGTTAATCGCTTACTGTCAGGCACTACCCCGGTCCTGCAGCTTGTGGGGAATCTTCCTTGCGAATCCGACTAAACATTGGAGTGTAGAAACGACACAGCACCTGCAGATAATCATGCATGTGCAAAGACCTTGAAATGATTTCATGGTTCCTGAGCATGGGCAATGTACTCAATTCGGGTTATCACGAAAGAAGACATACTACGTATCTTCTTTCGTGGCACAGTGCCGGCTTCATTAGCAAGAAATGCTATGATCAGACTTGTAAACCTCTTTGCTGTCCGGAACAAGTCCTCGGCCGCAAGAACTCTAAATATTCTATTTTCCCTTCGCTCCACGTTTGGCGTCATCCGAATTCCAATTTTCAATAATCGGGCATTCACCCACCATATGGCATTCTTAGGACAACTTCGCGGAGTCTCTTCACTCATTATTCAATTATATTGTTGTCTAGTAGCCAGTGGATGTGTGCCATCATGGTTCTTTTCCATACGGAGGAGAAAAGGTGCAGGAGCAGGATTCTCCATCTTTTCGCCATCCGGGGTCTTGATATGTATTCATACATCTCACTGTCTATATGTCATATGGACTTAATGCTCCAGAGTGGAGCCTGATGGAGATTGGTGAAGTCGTAGGGAGTGGCCGCTGGTTCCATTCGCCATGCAAGTTCTTCAGCTCCCAGGTTTGTAGCCCTGTGCAATGCCAACTAGTGTTCCGTATCGCTTCCATTCATGTTATGAACACGCTTTGCTTGGACATTTACCATTGTCAGATGGGTCGGGATTCCAAGAATGCCATGGGTGCTGAGTAGGGCTCCGGGTTATCGATTCGGGTTCTACGGATTCGATACCGATACTATAAATTTTTGGAGTTTTGATTTATTAAAAGTAACATGATAAAACTCTACATTTCATCCAAGTTATAGAATAGAATTATGAGTTTTTTATAAAGTAATCAAGCAATGTTAGAATAATTATTCCATTTATTTACCAGATGAATTGAGTTTTTAAATATTTAATAAATCTTTAGTTTTTCATAAATTAATAGTTTTTGAATTGAATCACAAATATATGGTATTCAAATTTTTTAAAAATTTTCTTTTGACTTTATTCAATGTTTTGACATCGTTTGGGTTAAATTGTAATTGGATGAATGTTTCAAATCATGTCAAGTTTTTTTTCACTACAATCTAGTTTTTCACACCGTTTGAATTGAGATACTAATGGATGGTTGATTTTGGTATTTTGATATACTTATTTTACTCTCATTCCTTAATTAATAATTTGGATCAGACATATAAGAAATGTCATTGATTTAAATATGCTAGTGATGTGAAGTACTACAAATTATGAGATTAAATAGTTTGTGAAATTCTTGTGTTTTTTTTCAATAAGCTCATATCATTGAGTTAGTAAGATATTTTATAAAATTTTCCAACAACAAAATATTTTCACTATTTTATGTCGTTGAGGGAGAAATTTTTCATCATGAATTGAATGATGTGACATAAGGAAACGCTTCAATATTAAGAAAATAAAAAATTGAACTAGCAAATAATCATCAATGAAATTCAAGTAATTGCATCGGACAATGAAGAATAAATAAACTCATCT